TAGATAGAAAACTTTGATTCAGTTGAGAATTGGCACTATATAAATAAACTGAATTGAATTTAAAGTATCTTTAGTATTTGTAGCTTCCCCAAAGTTTCCTTTTAATGTAGCTCACCGTGGCCCCCTGCTGCTGGGCCTCCTTTACTGCAGCCTCCACCAGGACCCTGTCCCCTTCGCTGTTCAGAGGAACACACTTCATGCTCGCCATTCGCAGCTTAAGCCGGGCCGCCAGGCTTTCCGCCACGCTCTCCTGCACACACAGCACCCAGTGGACCTGACGGCAGAGTGAAGAAGAAGAACACTTTTAAAAAGTGTTGGATCCTCTGAGGATAGATAAAGGTGCAGCTCCTCCACCTCCTTCTTCTTCTTGAAGGCAATCTGTATGACTTCATCCACAGCGCTGTCGATGTCAGCAGACTCAAAAATGATAAATGGGCAGGTGGCGCCGATGCACTGGGAGACGGACACGGGAAGCCCCGCCCCTGCTGCAGCCTTACACAGAGTCAGCCCATCCTGAGAGGGAGAGTGTGCAAAGATCAGCGGCAGAAACATTTTAGATGCCAACTACATGCTGACACACACCTGCTTGTTTCCAGTGTAAGTGATGTAGCTCACGCTGGCATTCTGGGACACTTTGGCCCCCAGTGTGACATCACTTCCTGTTAAAATGTTGAGAGTCCCAGCAGGGAGTCCTGCTCCAGAAAAAAGCTGAGCCAGGAGGAGTACAGGAGGGGCGGCACTCCGACCCGGAACAACGATCACAGAGTTACCTGGAAAAAACATGTTAAAACGGTTCAAACCGCTTCATCTTGTTTTACAGTTTTTTAAGTAATAAAAATACATTTTTATTAATTTTATTATCATTGTATAGGATGGATTAATGCAAAGCATTTTTGGTTTTGAAACAGGATCCTCACAGCATGACACTGCCACTGCCATGCATTAAAGGGATGCCTGGGATTATTTGTGGGAAGATGTAGGAATAACTTTACCAAACTGTAAGTTTAGCACAGATATTTAAAAAAAGTAAATGCAGTTAATTTTGTTCCATTGTTGTTGCAAATAAAGAACATATTTTGTAAATGGAAATTTAAAAGGAACCCAGAAATGAAACTTCTTCCAAAACAGGTTTCACTTTTTTGTTTTGTTTTTAACTGATAATATATTTTACAGTTTTAGTTTTTTTTAAAGTTTAATCTGTTGGATTTTCTTCAAATTTCTGTTTTTTCCACAGTTCTCTTAACTGTTACATAAATCATATCCTCTTCCCTTTAAGTCAAACACAAACACTCACATCATCTCTAATGTTTCTGCTATTTTTACTGTAAAAATGTCCATAGCTGTATATTGGTTATTATTCTCCAGGTGCAGTTTGATATTGTTAAAACACTTTACAGTTCAATATTTTTTTTTTTTTACTCTTCACTATTATGTTATCTTTTATACACTCTTCTAAGGTCCACATTTGTGTGACTCTTTTTTTTTAAATAATCTATTTGCTGCCTTAAACACCAGAATTCCCCCATTGTGGGCGAATAAAGGGATTTTCTATTCTATTCTATTCTATGATGTGCTAAATTCATGCTATTAAAGTAAAATTCATCAGAGTTTATGGCTGTGTGTTTTACCCATGGCCACTGCTGGCAGGACTTTGAGCATCAGGGAGTAAAGCGAGCAGTCATCAGAAGAGACGACTACCACAACACCTAGAAGACAAATAAAAAAACAATGACAGAAATCTATACACACACACGTATTCAAAAACGTAACAAAAAAAAAACAACAATCCATTGGACTTTGTTTCCATGTTTGAAGATGTTTCGCTTTCCATCCAGGAAGCTTTTTGAACTCAAAATGTCAGGAATAGCGTTGAGTTTCAGGCTTTATAGACTGGATTAAAGCCTTGTTTTGGCTTAGAAACATGCAAATTGAACATGACGAGCGTTTCTATAGACAGGTATAGACATGTGCCGTTTCTCAATATGGGAACTTGTGCGTTCTCATGTCCTCATGAAACATCATCATCCTAAGCCCTGGTACTGTTCCAATTCACATGAACAGCAGACTGAGAACAAACAAAGTCCCCTGATGTTGTTCTCACCCCTCCTCATTTACCCAGCATGCATCAGAGCAGACTTGTCCGTTCTTGAGATTATTAGGGGTGTAAATAATAATCGTTTTGTATCGATGCATCGATCCAACAGCCGACGATCCGATGCATCATCACGTCCGCAAGAGAATCGATTCATGTTTTTTTTTTCCCTCCGGTCTATTTTTATCCATTTGATCCTGGGCGTAATTCTCCCTCCCGTGCTGCGGTGGCGCTAAACCTATTTTGCCCTCCTACCTCGCTTCCTGGTTATACTCTTACAGCAGTGTGTTGCATAAAGCTTGACACAGACATTTTTAAATTATGCTCCATATTGAAGCGTGGTCTGAGCTACACACTGTGGGTCTAGATACGGCCGAGGCGGCGGAGGAAGTGGGGGCGAGTTTAGTCCGACGACGGAGAGACATGAGGGCCAAAAAGAGCGGAGATCCAGGTGGAAAAAGGGTCCCAGCGTTCTCGCGCACCTCGCTCTTCTAGTGCGTCAAACTTCACGAGTTGTTTTCCACAATTTCGGTCATAAAAACAAAACAAGCCGGCCTCCTGTCTGCGGCACTGTCTGCGGTCAGCTACAATCTGGGAGAGGAGCAGCGGAGCGTCTCTCAAGGGGGCGGGACGTCTGGAGCCGAGGTATTGCATTGCACTGATTATGTGCAGTATTTTTTTATGCAACTTTTCTACTCCTGTTATTTGCTGTTGTTTCTCAAAAAAAAATGCATAACGATATTACAGCTTTCATTGATTTATTTCAAATTTGAAACATTGTTTAGCCTGTAAGGTGTAAAAAAAAAACTAACCTATTAATCAAATCATATCGTGGTGTATTCTTGAGTATCGAAAATAATCGAATCGTTGGGTCAGGAAATCGATACTGAATCGAATCGCCATGATGGATGTGATTTACACCCCTACCCAGCATGCACTGCGGCAGCAGCAGCTTTCAATGGAGCGCTCACATAGACAGAGTATTAAGTTAAAGTTTACTTTTCTGTTGCTGTTGTTCAATTAAAGTACGTTTTGAGGCGAGAATATTATACTTTAAAGGATCACTTGCTCTGATGGCGATTTTTTTTTAGTTTTATTTGGCAAAATGTTCATTTAATTTGTGTTTATCTGACTGTTTTCATTATTATTCCCCCACTAAATAAAAAAAGTAATAATTTTCTATTATCTAGAGACTATAAATAACAGGTGAAATGCAGCTCCAGACGAGCCGGCATGTGGTGACGTCACGATGACGCTTCTGTTCCAACTGACCCATATTTATGCTGCGTGCTCCCGTTCTCCCAGAGGCCAGACTTTCCTGTGTTCTTCACAAGAACAACAAAAGAAGCCAAGTGACTCCCATTCCAAAAGGGGTGGACCCGTTCGTCTGGTTCGATTTGCATGTTTTCTAAGCTAAAAACAAGGCTTTGTTGGGCTACTGTATAAGAGCCTCGAACATTTTAAATTGAAAAAGCTTCCTGGATGGGAAGCGAAATGCCTTCAAACTTGGAAACAAAGTCCTGTGGATTTTATTTTTTTTTTAACTTCTTTTTAACTGATTATGACCTGGATGACTGAGAATTTTCCCCAGTATACTTCACACACACAACAAACTGCCCAGCGAGGCCTCTCTTACCCACAGATGTCCAGCTGGGGATGAGTGTATCTCTGAGCTGAGCCCAGCTGCTGTAGTACTGCAGCAGTCTGACCAGGGCTGAGGGCGAGCAGGACGCCTCGCTCAGAGCGCACAGCTCTGACAAACACTGACCATGCAGCCCCAGGACACCTACCAGCCTGGTGAAGGTGGACGGAAAGCATCCAGGTGAATGACTGAACCTAAAGGCCGCAGGGCGGCTCCAGGAGAGCTGGAAGGTAAACTAGCCCAACCTGAGCAACACTTTGGATCTCTGGGAACACGTCAGGCCGCTCCACGACGTGTAGCCGCTGGCAGCAGAGGAAGCACATTGGGAAATATCTTCGTCTTCGGCGCAGACGATGCTGCACAGCTTAGCGCCTGGAAAAATGAGGACAAATAGGAAAGATGGTATGAAGCGCACAAATCATTCCATTTTCTATCCATTCTAAATTTGATTTCTTAATAAATGTTTTAGTTTTGTTTAAATTGTGTAACTTATTATGGTTTAAATTGAATCATGTAAATGGAGCGGGGAAAAAAAAAAAAAAGATATACTTTGTTTATGTTGTGACTTTCCCAAACATTTCAGACTCTAATTGCTGAAAAACAGCAAAGCAACAGACCTGTGAACAGACCTAAAACTACATCATCACCTAATTACGGCAGTGTAGGTTTATTTTTTACATTCAAAGTGGAGTCATTACATTTGTTTTTACATTTTCTTAAACAACATGTAATATTTTATTCCCTTATATTGTAATTAATCATCAATACATACATACCATATGTAATTATTTTGTTGTATGGTTAATTTTTATTGAGATATTCAGGTTTATTTATTTCCTGATAAATGTCGGCCATCCATATACTTTAGGAATCATTGTGAAAACCAACCCTCCGACCCCCACTGGGGTCATGACCCCACTAAGGGTCCTTCATCAGCTAGCATGGGGTCTTGAGATCCACTACAGAAATTGAAATAAACAATAAACTTTTCGAATTAAAGTGCTTAAAGATATGAAATGATCCCTAAAAAGTAGAAAAAAACAAATGATTCGGTTGCTGATGCTGTTTGTTCTATTATCAGACCTCTGGTTAGTTTATTTGGTAGATATTTTAAAAGTAGCAGGAATAAAAACAAATTAAAAATTATGGTTAGTTGTCGATTAATGATTTCTTGCATTAATATTTTTTTTCCATCCATTTAATTGATCACTGATTCTTGAAACTTTGGCAAAAACAGGTCCCCCTAAGAAAAGTGTCAATTATGTTGGAAATAAATAACTTTTTTATAAATAAAAAGAATAAAGGTTATAATCAGAGGGCCATTTGTACATAAATAAGGTTATTTTAAATGAATGTAATGATTATATGCTGGCCCATTGCCTACAAAATCAGTTGTCGTTGGATAGGAAATAATCATTTCAAACTGGTTAAGAAAACAAAAAGTAATTATTGAATTTAATAACATCTTTACCCAATGAAAGAGTACAGTAATATGCATTTAAAACAAAATTTCATGCATTTCTGTGCCCTCATGAAAACACGCTGGCCCCCTCCTGGCCCCCTGGTACAGTTGGTCTAGAACCGCCACTGGCATTGATGACTGAAAGACATCTTCAGCCTCCATTGATCTGTTTACTACAGTGTGTTGAAATCATGTTAATGTGGATTTAAAGACATTTCAATTAGTGGAAACAATTGCAGGGGGAATATTAAAAAAAAAAACTCTAATCAACCAAAACTTTTTGGTTGATGCAGTACCTCCATGGACCCCCTCCACGTTAACAGATAACTTGCATCCTGAGTCAGAAGCTCTAAAGTTTGGGAACCTCTGGGTTAGACTGATGTGTTTGTGGATCTAAATGTTTCTCATGTAGAACAATCAGTTAACAGGGAAGCAGCGCTTACCTTTGGAATCAGACAGGGAGATATTCTGCCTTCCTGCTGGACGGACAAACTTCCCATCCATGAATAAACCCAGGGAACGGGAATGATGATCTAGCCACGCCTGATGGAGAAGAGGAACAGGAAGAAATCAGAGGAGACAATCAAAGCATCACGCATCAACAACCATAGAACAGCAGCCAGTCTTCCTGAGAAACAGGCCTGAATGTATTTCATAGGGCCGCGACTAACGAGTGTTTTGCTAATTAATTAATCTGCTGATTATTTTTTTATTGATTAATAAATCACATAGTAAAAGGTTTTTTTTACAGAGTTAAACCAGAGGAAACTAAAACTTTTCCACTTGTTGGGTTCTAGATAGAGCATAGCGACTGAGGAGAAATATGTTTTTAATCTTAAATGCAACATTTTTATTTATTTATTTTGTACAATTCTTGTATAAGCCCCGCGATGGACTGGCGACCTGTCCAGGGTTCACCCCGCCTCTCGCCCGTAGACAGCTGGAGATGATGCAGCAAAATATGCTCTTTGGAAACAGGACAGAACCCAGGGTTTATACAGGAATGAGTAACTCTAGTTTAATGCCAGTTAATGCTCTTAGAAATAATTTTTATGCCATAAACAAGTACCCAAGATGCTCATATATATATATATAGCAGCTTTTCTCTGTCCAAACATACGGCTTTATGATCAACCAGAAGCATTTCCGCAAAAATATATGGCAATATAATGTCTGACGAAACTGTTTTTATAAACTTTTACAATCTTTTATAATCACATTTAAAAGATTTTAATGCAAATTAAGGTCTTAATTTGAAAAAAATATTATTTAACGACTTTCAATGATTTTTAATGACCTGCGGAAACCCTGGAACCACATCATCATACATCCTACACTGTACCAAACAGCTGACAGGACAAACTGGATCACATATCAATCCTCTTCTGTTAGAGAACAGCTCAATCACTTCTAGCTAAAGGCTACATGCCTGAAGCTAAATAACTGCCTGAGTAACACTATTCTGGGATTATTTTCATCCCTAATCTGAACGGATGAAGGTACATCAAAGGTTGATTTCAGAAGGAGATGAAGAAAAAAAAGAATCTACTTTGTTTTCCACCTCATCATCATCATCATCATCATCATCATCATCATCATCATCATTTCCAGTCGAACGTTTGCAGCCGTGGAAATGAGAAACACTCCGAGTTTAACAGGAACAGGTCAGGCTGTACGGACGTAACAATTATTGACAGACGTCAGAGCAAAGTCCAGAGCTCCACATTCAGCAGCACTTTTTTAGATATTTTTTCTGTGTTCTTTCCAAATAATAAAAAATATGCAAACAACGGTTAAAGTTGAGAACTGCTGGTTCTTCTCTTTCAGTTCTCCTTGCAATAAAACTGGTAGAACCTGTTGGTTTTTATGAATGATTCACTTTTTAGGAAATAACTTCAATTCAAAATTACTCGATTGATCTCAAAGAGAAAAATAAACTGTTAATTTAACTCATATTAAGGATTGTTGTTGCAGGTTGAGGAAGGCTCTCCTGTAGTGGTCTGTCTTACTGCTAATCCGGAGAAGCTTCTGACTGAAGTCAACAGTCTGATGAAGAGGATGCTCACGGTTATCCATAAACCAGGGCATATACTGTGCGATTTTTTAAGAGTTCAAGACTCACGATGTTTGTTCTCAACCTGTGCGACCCAATGCTCTGATGCGATCTACCTGCTCACACTGTACGTCTAAAAACAACATCGGACTCAGCTCTGCAGTGAGATGGCGCTACTCGGACTCGTCTATCCGGAAGCCAAACCAGTAGAAGAGGATTATCAAGCTCACTTCAAGCTCATTTTGTGCTAAAAGCCTTAAAAAGAAAAGGCGGAGACATATTTGGACGTTTTCGTCTAAGAAGAAGAAGATTTCTTGTTTGCCCACTGAGCAATTTGCCCACGATGATCGACAGAAAATCAAACATGTTTGATTTCCTCCCGACCTCACGATTCCTGATGGGCGGTGGTCGTGAGAGGCTGATTTCCCCTCGTTACGCCCCCTGTACATGACGCACCATCAGGCTCAAAGTCAGGCCTATCGAAAAACGCTCCTATAACTGGAAAGTCGGCCCGAAAACGGAAAAAAAAAAAATAATATTGCATAGTGTAAGCTCAGCTTAAGTGGAGGGAAGTGTTGGTCTAATGCAGGGGTCTTCAACGTTTTCGAGGCCAAGGACCCCCAAACTGATTGCGAGATGGAGCGGGGACCCCCTAATTATATATATTGTATGAAACTGTGTTCTATCAAACTGGTCCTATAGTCA